TATGGCAGCATGAGTCACTTGTGAAACGTTTTGGTGGTTGTAGGGCATTTTGCACCAAAGGTTAAGTGGTGTGCTCAGTTGTGTATTGGTACAGCCCACTGTGTTAAGTGTTTTGAAAAAGTGGACATGGTATTGAGACAAGTGTGAAAATGATTGGAAAAAACTGTAAGTGTTTTGAAAAAGTGGACATGGTATTGAGACAAGTGTGAAAATGATTGGAAAAAACTGTAATATAAGTGAATAAAAATGCATGAATGTGTTTAAAGTTACAGAAAATTACAGTGAAAACCATTTTTACATGGCCTGCTGTGCATGCCTTAGTTTGTGTGACTAAATCCTTTAATAACATTTGATTGCCCTGTTGATTGGAATCTTTGTATTACTGAAATTATCTTCAAATGATTTGACAGCAATTGTCCATTCATTATGCTTGATCATTTTAATTCTTAAAATCTGTACAACCTGATTCACATCACCAAAGACCAGAAACATTTCTATCTTACCTGAAGTTTGTGTGGTAGCCTTATTGTTTTGCCTTGAACCTTGATCAGCTTTGGAGTCTCTCTGTTAATCTCTGTTTCTTCAAGCCAACCCTCTCCTATTTAACCTTCAACACCAGATCTTAGCCAAAGAGGTGATCAGTTCCTGTTTCTGTGCCAGTCTGTATTCTAATGTATGTTAAAGGCAAGTTTTTTGGAACGGAACCAGAAATAATATTAACCAAAGAAGGTCTCTTTCTTCAGAAAATGTCTTAATTGAAAAAATATGCCATTGTCTGTATTTATGATTTTTTTTTTAAAAGGAATTGAAAGAAGGTATTCCTGGGTTTAGATCATGGAACCTGTTCTTTGTTTTTGCCAATTATGTTTTGCATTTTTATAAGGAAGTATTTTATATAGGAAGTAATTTCTAATTATCTTAGTATTTAACTAGATTTATTACAATTATAATATTGTTCTTCTCGCTATGCAGGTTTTTGAACCCTCTCCAAGTCGTGAAAATTTCTGGTTTTGGTTTGCATGTTTGGTTTTTGTTCTAATTCTCTTTCATCATCATGCACTACAGTTTGAGGTTTTTTTTTAATCAGAATTAGCTTGTAATGCTTAATGAGATTTAAGCTTAAATCCTATCATCACAAACATCAAAAACGTGTATTTACCCCTTCCCTTACAAAAGACAATAGATGGGAGGACTGCAAACTATCTTTTAACTGATAACTCTCTTTCTTCTCTCATTTTTGCATTATCTAATTTACATTGTCAATAAAGTAACCTGAAGGTGATTAATGAAGATGCAACAACATAAAACATCCCTCAAAATACTTAGATGAAATGAACCCATCTGAACACTTAATAATGAGCCTGGAGGAATAGGTGAGACAACATTTTTCTTCCAGTGGAGTTCAAAACCTTTAAAGCATCAAGACAATTGTCTTTAAAGCTGTTCTGGTGGTTTACATTGGCCCAACACCCTGTTCAGACACAACAATGTCCAACATTACACACATCTAGTCCATATACCTCTTTATGTATTCACACAGTACTTTAAATTAGTTTATTTTTCTCAGAGGGATAGTGGGGAGGCAGGTTGGGACAGCCTGAGAATAGAAAAGTACAATCAAAATGTAGTGATCCCCGGCTATATCGCAGTTCAGCTATCGTGGCTCCGCTATATCGCGGATTTTTCCCTGACGCATCACTGTTCTCTGCGATATGTGTATATATGCACATCACTGTAAATGGGGGATCACTGTAAAATCAAATCACATTACATATTATTATTATTATTATGTTACTCAGATCCTTGGCCCAACATACACATATCATATGTGTTTACAAAGTGTGTTTTAATAATTTTGCATGTGTTTAAAGTGTGTGGGAGTGGTATTTTAGGGCTTAAACTATAAAAAACGTTTATTTATGTGGTCTTTCTATATCGTGGATTTTCACCTATCGCTTTTAAAAACGTGTGGGAGGGGTATTTTAAGGCTTAAACTATATATAAATATGGTGGTATAGAAAGACCATATATATGATGAAGTAACAAAGTAAGATGGATAGGTTTTTCTGCGACAGGCGGGGGATCACTGTAAAATCAAATCCTGAAAGTCCCCGACCCACAATGCAGAAAGAAAGACAATCAGAACAAATGGAGAAAATGTTGTCATAGTTCAGGGAGCATAAATACGCAAACATTCAGATACAAATATGAGTCCCAGCCCAGAGCCTGTGTGCAGTAGCTTCAGAGGCTCATTGTCAAACAACACGAGTTAAGATAACCGTTGTTATAGCTAACAGACAAAGCACGCTCACTAGGCTTATATTCTGAGTGGCATGATAGTTCAGATTGTAAAGAAATAGTGAACCTCAGGTGTTTTCCACAGAAAAGGGAAGATTTGTGACAGTTATGTAAAGTAGGTGGTGCCCAAGCATATTACCAGTGGCTATATTTCAAATAATGAATGTGTACAAAAGGTGTAAACACCTTGAAGCCATAGGGCCAGGTCAGCCATGGAGACTAAGCACACTTCCTCTCCTCTTCTGCTAGAGAAGTGTCATGGAACATTGTTATCTTCAGAAGTTCCTTAATTGCAGCCCTGATATTTGTCATCTTTGAGTCAGAGAGTAGTTCTTCCGCTCCAAGTCTCCAGAATGTTATTACTATGATGCCATTAGACGTATGATCAAGAGAAAGTCTGGCCATTTCATGTGTGGCTCTATGGGCTAGAAAGCTGTACCTGTATCCTGAAGGTTGTGGGTTTGTATCCTGTGGCCATCAGAATGAGCAAATCACTGTTGGGCTCTTGACATAATTGGGCCTCTCTTGAATTGAAGTCAACCTAAAAAGTACCTTTAGGACTGCAGTTCCTTCAGTGAATTACACCTTATATATATAAGTATACCAAATTGATTCCTATATTTAAAAAAAAAAAAATCAAGACACTGCCTTCAAAAGACTAACCAAAAAACTAGCAGTGTAGTGCAATGTTTCATAACCTGGTACCAGGTTGGGAAACACTGCTGTAATGAACACTAAATTCTACACATTGCCATTACAGAAATAGAGGGTGTACACTGCCCCCTAGAGTCCAGCCAGGACAATGATTCAGCGGCAAGATGATCAACAAGCTGCAAATCATACTGTTGAATCTGCTAAAGAGCAACATTTCACATCTTTTTCTACTGATGGAAAATCAAGTCCCTGATCATAACCTACATCTACATATCAGAAACTCTGGTCAATAGTGACAAATGAGGATGAGAGAGGAGGATGAACCAGTGTCCCTATAGTAATGTGGGCTAAATGCCTAACTCAGGGGCCTAACTGTGAAATCACTCAGCCATGGGATTTGAACTTATAACCTATCAGACATGGGCACAGAGCCCTAACCCGCTGAGCTACATACACAAACACATAGCTGCCCACACAGAAATTTGTACAAACACAGTCTGCAGCTTTGTACAGGTGTTCAGAATTCAAATGCCTAAAGAGCCCTTAACTAGTCAGATGAATGGATCCAAAAAATCAAGGATGTCCCACTAGTTCAATGCATGTTCACAGTGCTATTTAACTGTTCATTTTTATAACATAAATTCTGTTCTCCTGTCCATAATCCAGTTTATGAACTCTCCCCCTTACAGCAATAACATCTCTGGGACTTTCACAAATCTAATTTTTTTCAGTCCTGTTTAGGCTGCTCCAGTGTGTGCAGTGCCTATAGCATTAAGCATCCTATTAATTTCCTCCAAACTGTTGATGGTGGCCAGGTCAGCATAGTTCCATCTACAGTAATACAGCAGCTTCACCCCTTCACCTAATATCCAGAGATATTGATGAGGCATAGAGATACTATTGCAAAAACAGTTCAAACACAGAAAACCCTGTTTTGGGGTGAAAAAATATAACCCATATACACTTTCTTGCAATGCTTCCTATTAACAATGCAATAACAAACAACATAAGGGACAGTGACATGAGATCATTAGGAAATCCCTCGTGTCAGGTACCAGCCTAGAAACACTATAGCAATAGTTGATTTTTGAGTTTTGAGCATTTCCTTTATTCCGGTATGATCACTATAAGTCCACTATATTATGTTGAGCTTTAGCCAATTGCACAGCATTATCTATTAGAAGTCATTTATGTATCATAAATTCCAACAAATCATTCCATCATCTACTGATCACACTCCATTTATCCAGTCAACTTAGAGCATATCCCAGAATGCACAGCGAGCAAGAAGGGAGATACTCTGGTCAGAATGATAATTTCAAGGTAACACCCATCTTCCACCACTTATTTTGCACAAGGTCACATGGATTGTGCAACATTTCCCAAGCATTAATGCACATGAGATAGAGGATGCACAATGAAACACTACAGGCAATTTAGAGAAACTAATTAGCCTAAACTGTGTTTTTGGATTAAGAGGGGAAAGCCAGACTCTAGACTGGGAAAGCACCAATTACAACGCAAAACATAAACTGCAGGGAAGACTTCTGATCTACATTGCAGCAAATTATCAAATGGACAAGCAACAGGCTACTGAAAATTATCACAGACATTAAACAGTACTACATAAAGATTTAAGAATGTTTCAGAACAATTACTGCCTACACTAAGACAAATACCTCTTTGTCCAAAGTTTGTGATGTACCTATTTTATTGAATATGACCTCACTGAAAAACTACCCATGATTTGAACAAATGGACAGAAAGCTGACCATTATCTCTCAACATGAAAACCAAATTAAATGTTAATTTACCCGTTTTTCTATGTGTGGACTTCACTCTACCTGTATGACTGATACAATTATTTACAGGGAAAAAAACAAAAAAGAACTACACAATAATTAATGTTAACTCATGAAAAAAATACAGTAGCTATCTTATTCATTTACATTTTGCAGTTTCCTAAGTTTGAATACAAAGATCTTTAAAAAAGACATTTCAGTTCTTTTATTACAAAAAAAAAAAAAACTGGACATTAACTCAAGAAAAGTCTATAAATGCTGTAGTTTTCTGTGTGGACAGGACCGGAGGCTTCCGAGACAACTGTTTAAACATCTAAAAATAAAAACCAATGCAAAGACAGTTGGTCAAATATCAGAATTCTCAAAAAGAAGAATAATATGCATACACAAGAAGTTTGTAACACCACATACATCTAACCTCTATTTCTAGAAGGAGGGACGAAATAAAACAGGATGGATGGATAGAGGAGGAATAAAAGAATGACTGGTATACCTCCATTTTACAGAACGTCTATCTAAAGCCTGTGTGGAGGTGCACGGATTCAGATTCTCTGTTATTGGAGAAAAACCTTAATTTTACTCCATTGGTGCACTGGTAGTATTCCATGGCAGGTAGGATGGTAGGTATGCATTTAAAGCCCATGTTAGTACCACAAAGAACTGCTGAACTGTGGTCCTCAAGAGTAGACTAGATTTTAGTTTGAAACGGCTGATTAGGATCAGGATTACTGAATGGGTCAGTGTGAGAGTTTACAGTAAATCTGAGTGAGATCTAGCGCCGTCGCTTCTTCTTGCTGCTGGGAGTCGGGGCTGACGAGCGCCCCTTCCTCTTCCTGTTAGAGCTCTCATCTGCTTCCTCATAATGACTTTCTCTGTCCGCTGAAAGAGACAGACAAAGAGACACAGCACATTTGAAACACTAATAAATACTGACAACTGGGTACACTTTACTCAGAGGAACAGTGTCTTTATACTCACCCTTCCTGGCCTCTTCCTCCAGCTCATCCCAGTCCTTCCCACTCTCCTCCTCACTGCCCAAAGATGCACTGTAGTCTGACAAACCAATAAAACATACTGGTCAAAATTGTACTTACATATATACAGATACAAGTTTGTGTTCTTGCGTCTCTAGCAACCTGAGTCTTCAGTCTCTGAAGAGTAGTCTTCGTCACTGTCTTCCTCTTCATACTCATCCTCCTCTGCTGAGGGATTAAAGGTTTCATCTTCCATCTCTGACTCGGAGTCCGCTGCATCATCCCCACTCGCCTGGAGGGCAGAGAGAGATAGGCATCAATTCACTGTAGTATCATCCATTATCTACAGCAGGGAGTGGTCAATCTGATCCACATAATCTTATCAAAGGGCCGGTGTGTATGCAGGTTTTTGGGATAACCTTTAGTCCAGCTGCTCAAACCCAGGTGTGAGGACTCTTCAGCCAATCAGTCCTCTAATTAGTAATCTAATTAGGGAGTTGCAGCGAAAACTTGCATACACTACAGCCCTTTCTGGATAAGATTGGCCACCCCTAATCTACAGGATTGTTGCATGAGTTTAAAAATCAAATTCCATGGTTTAACATCCATTTTTTAAGATCTCAGAAAAGATAAATTCTGTGGAAATACAGAAATGTATGAAAATACATTCACAAAGCCGTTCACAACTGCTTGGCCTTTCCAGTGATATGTTCAATCATAATGCCATCATCATAGCATAGAAATTTCACAGTATGTTAGCCCTGAAAAACAACTGAACACTCATGACTGCTACTAAACCACTAAGCCAAAAACACAAAAACTGAATAATATAATTTATATAGTTTAAGTTATTCACACTTTTCATGGTGTTGGTAGCCTTTTCAGCTGCTAGTACGTTGTGAAAAGTAGATTAATACCCTTGAGAAATTTTAGCAGGTAGCAGGAAGTAATCGGATCAAAGATTACAAACACCTTTTCTACCCTCTAAAATCAGAATGATAACAAAAATGGCTAGCAGATTTGAAGAATTATAAAGACTCCCAGATTGCAACAAACTAAGTTTGTACTACAGCGCCATATACCCGTGTATGTTTTTGCATCAGTATTGTTATCGCTCTGAATTTTTTTTTACTTTCTATATTATTTGTATCTAGTTTAAAATCTAGTTTAGTGTCCTGTGTGGTTTCATATGTTTGTATTTTAAATCTTTATTTGTTATACATTTTATTTTAGATTTCAGTCATTTCTATGGATAGATGGAAAGTTGAAAGACTCTGCCGGCTACTACAAAATATCATCATGTTGTGCTATTGGCTATTTCCACCATTCAAGTGTAGTGCATGAGAACCCCAAAGGTAAACAAATGATTACTCTAGCTAAACAGTGTTTAAAAACTTCAACGGGAAGTATGTGACATTTCATTTTATTTTATTTAAGTTGGTTTCAGAAGCAATACTTATAGTTCTCATTTAGTTTTATTTTGTTTTCGTATTTTACTTTATTTTTGTTTGGGAAATGTTTCCGTCAATGATAATAAACCTGTCTTGTGTATTGTTATATAGTGCACAGTTAGTTATCATTACTTACTTCACTCTCGGGGTCCAGGAAGGACCATCCACCCTGCTCAAAGAATCCTTCAGGATCATCCACAATAGTTTTCATGATTTTTGTCCAGTTCAGTGACTGCACACCTTCCGTGTACTTTATGTCACAGGAACTGGGAAGAGAAGTGGATGACAGGATATATTTTTATTAGCCAAGGTACACTTACTTGTCCTCAAACAAAGTGTTGTTAACTACAATATGATATGTACAAATCACAGGCTCATATGCTAATAAGTAAACTACATCAGGTTAGGTCAGGTTGGGGAGCATGCGCTGATGCAGTGGTTTACCACACCGACCACAAAGAAACACCTCAGGATCCCGGCTGGCGACCCCCCCAGGCAGACAAACGGTCCAGTCCCACCCTCCGGAAGTGACCGCCCATCTGCCGCAGCCAGGTGTTACGGGGGCGTCCCCTCGGCCTGGTCCAGCCCCTTGGGTCCTCAGTAATGAGGATCCTGTGAGCCGGATCACTCTCAGGGAAACGCGCCACATGGCTGCAGTGCCGTAACTGACGCTCCCTCACAATGCAGGTAATGTGCCTCATTCAGGACTCCTCTAGCAACTGCTTGTTCGACACGAAGTCAAACCAGCAGTACCCAAGGATTCTCTGAAGAGACACAGTACCGAAAAAGTCCAGTCTTCATCTCAGCTTACTGGATAGCATCCATGTCTCACAGTCATACAGCAAGACAGGGAGGACCAGGACTTGGACCTTCACCCTCTTGCAAAGATATCGGGAGTGTCATACACCCCTTTCATGACCCCCCATACTCTTCCAATCCGTCTACTGACTTCATGGGAAGAGTCACCAGAGACATGAATGTCGCTGCTGAGGTAAGTGAATCTCTGACACACTACTGATGGCTGTGCTGAAGAAGTCGTTAAAGGCCTGGATCTTGGTTTTTATCCAGGACACTCGCAATCCCAGACACTCAGACTCCTCACTCAGTCTCTCGAGAGCCCCGATCAAAGCCTCTATTAACTGCGAAGATCACAGCATCGTCGGCAAAGTCAAGATCAGTAAATCTTTCTTCACCAACAGAAGCCCCACAGCTACTGAACCCCACAACCCTGCCCAACACCCGGTCCAAAAAGGCACTGAACAGAGTAGGAGCAAGAACACACCCCTGGAGAACCCCAGAATCAACTGGGAAGAACACAGAGGTTCTCCCTCCACTCTGCACAGCACTCACAGTACCAGTGTACAGGCTGGCTATGATGTCCAGTAACTTCATGGGGATCCCACTAAGGCCCAATCCCAATTCTACCCCTTACCCCTACACTTTCCCCTACCCCTCCGTTTGGCGCGTTCACGTGTAGGGCTAGGGGTGTCTCAATTCTCTTTTGATTGGAGGGGTAGGGGTAAGGGGAAGGGCTAGATAGCCCTCGAAACGAAGGTTTTTCGGGACCTCACTTCAAACGAAGGGCTAAGAGAAATTTACAACATGACTGCCCACTCGAGCAAGCAGACCCATAAATGTTAAGTAATTTTTGCCATTAATAAGGATTTTTATGTCATTTTTTCATTACATGTATATTACCATCAATCTTGTGTTTGTGTTTACGGTGATGTTCTGTAAAGAAACGTTTGAAAAAAAATCGCTAAAGTTTGCTTGCGGATAGCACTGATTGCACATTATTAGGAAATATATTTTTATGTCATATAACGTTACCCAGTAACTGACTGCATGTGGTAACGCGTTGTTTTGTTTTGCTTACGGCCATATGTGTACATGTAAATGAACGGTGCTTACACTATTCGTACTTATTGCAACATGACAACATTTTTGTAAATTATATTCTGTATAGGGACAGCTGAGGAAACCCGAAGAACATCTGTTTTTAAAGTCCAAATACGGCGCAAAAAAACTTTGGGAGTGAGTAATCTTTACATGCTACGATGCTGACGGCGACATCTTGGAATTTGTGATAAACATCGGCGCATGTCCTCTGACTTAACGTTAGGAGGTAGTGACAATGACGTATAACAGTGTAGTAGTGGTGTCCCATTTCTTAGGGGAAATTTTTTAACCCTACCCCTTTCCACTTCATTTCAAGGGGCAAGGGGAAGGGGCGAGGGGTAGGCAAAGGGGTAGAAAATAGAATTGGGATTGGGCCTAAGTCTCAGGATGTCACACATGGCAACTCAATCAGCTTTACGAAAATCCACAAAGGCTGCAAAAAAACAATTTTCGCGCTTGTGCTCGATGAGAACCCTCAATGCAAGGAAACTGCAAACTGCATCCACACCTAAAAATTCAAAAAAGGCCCATTCATTATGAAATTTAAACAGATTAGAGAATGAGCAGAGTCTTACTTGAGCCACTCCTTAATTGCATCCAGCGAGTTGACAGGCACAGCATTGATCATGGTGACCTTCTTGTTGTAATCCTTGTACACAATCACCATGTCAAAATTCTTCAGGTGGAACTGCACACGCTCAAAATGAACCAGCTCCACCTCATCCAGGGTCACCACAAACGGCGGCTGCAGATACGCATTGTGAGTAATTACTGCAAGTGGTCACAAGGAGGAACATCATACTGAAAATATAACAGGCTTTTCCTGCAAATGGAGGGATCCACACTCACCCATTCCGTCACATTGCAGAGGGAACTGGAGGTGGGCTGCAGTAAGCATGTACTCCTGTAGGGCGCACCCTGAAAACTACAACACACCCAAACATCAACATAATTTAATACGTGTTACCTCAAACACTTTAATGATTAGTAATATATGATATTGAGCTCAACTGGCTCAGAGTGGCAACCTTGACATTCTCACCCCAGGTCCCTGAATGGCACTTCAAACTCCAGCTCCTCCTTAGTAAGGTTCTCCACCTTCTCAATAAAGTTTTTGAAGGCAGCTTTGAGCTTGTGCCTCATCTCCCGCTCCATCTGCTCAGCATAGAGGTCATCCCTGTCGTGCATGTGCTGGTGTTTGCCCAGGTCCGTGGTGATCTCACCCACTTCTGTATAGAACTGTACGTCTGTATGGCGTTTCTTTCCAAACATGATTGCATTCTGGCGGAAAGAACAGATCGCTCGTCAAAAGAGATGGGAGAGTTGGACTGAACAAGAACATCGGCATTATAAAGCAAAAATGAGAAACCTTGAGGTAGAAGTGCAGGACGATGATCATCTCCCCATCACAAGGCTGGAAGATCGAACGTTTAATGTTGTTGTACAGGATGTCCACCTTATCACCACGCACAGAGGTAAAGCGAAACCCTGAGGAGAGACGCATTCAATGCTTAACCCTTCCTAAAAACCACACTGTCTCATGTGATTTCACTCTCAGTCACTCACCATTGGTGTGAGCCTCCAGTGAGCCTTGCATCCGCTTCTGGGCGATGTTGGGCCTAATGTACAGGTCTTTAAGCTTGGGGTTGCTGCGGTTGAGATTGATGACCAGCGAGTCCTGCTTGACGATGCCCTCTTTTTCCTTCTCCTCAGCTTCGCGTGTCTTATAGCGCTTCTGTACCTCTTTAATGATGCGGAAGGCATTCTGCAGGTTGGTGGAGGGCACGGCTGGGTCACCAGGTGTCTTCAGGTTTGAGGCACGGTAAGTTCTGATAATGCCAAAGTCAGTAAGGCAGAACATGAGGATCATCAGACTCAGAAAAACAAAAGAGTAGAAACGGAAGACACAAGACCAGATAGATCAGGGAAGGCCAACTGAGTTAAGCTCACATCTCTTTAAGGAAGGTGGCATCAGGATTGGGGAAGATGTTGCCATCGTGGCGGCCCAGAGAACTACCAGGGACGTAGAAGTTGATACGGAGGTATGTGTAGTCCCCCTCAACTGACATGCTGATGTTCTGCAAAACAAGATGGGGTAGGGGAGACACTTAGCCGATTCTCAAGTTGAAATATTGTCATTGTTCTTAAAGGTCATTTTACAGTAGCAGCTACCTTGATCGTGGCAATGTGAAATGGTGTGGCAATACCAAAGATGGGCATGATCACAGTCTCATACTTCTTATCGATGAAGAGCTTCATTTCACGGATCTCCTTCTCCCGAGGCATTTGGGAGAAGTTTTTATAAGAGACATTGGACTTCCGTGTTCTGTGGTATATAGAAAGAAGGGTTAAATAAGCAGATTGTATGCGGAGTGGCAGGTCTTGATGCCGTGTGGACAAAGCTATAGCACTGACTATGACATCATTATCGAGGCCTTAGTGTAGATGTGGATATTTAAGATTAAATATATTATCAGCATTGATTACACCATTCATCATTATATTCAGATTATGAAAACCAGCAAAATGCTGGGTCCATGTAGGTACCAGCAGTAAAGCACATTGACTGGAGGAAACGGGCCCAAAACACAATTCCAGAAATGTCACGTTTAAATATTTTTTTTAGAAAAAAAGGACATTTTTACTCTTTTTTTTTGCCAACCTAGTCCTTGTTGATATTGTCAAATACCATACTGAAATTAAAGTCGAGATTTCAACCAAAAATAATGGCCTACAAAAGAGCCCCACAAAACTAAAAGTTTTAATTTTAGGATTAGGATTTAGGATCTCACTACCAATGTCAGAAACCTGCTGAAGAAATGAAAGGGGTCCCAGTCATCAGCTCAGGGGGCCCAATAACCACATCCATCCCATCACCGTATCTACGTCAAAATAAAACATTGTGACTAATTAAATCTAATCTGGGCAAATTTTCAGTTTTTACCTGCCAGGGTAAGTGGTGGCTTAATGGTTAGGGATGCGCACTTGTAATTGAAAGATTGCAGGTTCAAATCCCCGACCAGCAAGGCACCCCTGAGGTACCCCGAGCATGGACATAAATTACAGGGGGGTTGTAGCCCCCCCAATAAATCAAAACCAGCTAATACACCCCCCTCATAATAATTTTTCTCCTATAATGGGTGGAGACCTCAACCCCTCCAGTGTTCTAGCCAAAGTTACGCCCTTGACCCTGAGCAAGGTACCGCCCCCTGGCCGGGCCCTGAATTAGCTGCCCCCTGCTATTGTCATATGGGTTAAATGCAGAGAATACATTACATTGTTGTGTACTGTGTGCTGTGGTGTGTCAACAATGACAATTAATCACTAAATTCTAAATTCCAGTACCTTCTCAGAAGGCAGCACTTTTGCACGCACCTCCAGGGACGGGGGTTTGAATCCCACCTTCCCATTTGCATGCCATCCCCACATGCCTCTGGTTTCTTCCAGCTCCCCAGAGACTTGCAGTTAACCTAACTGCAATCTCGAAATGTCTATATGATTGGAAATGTTAGTGTGTGAGTGTATGTGCCTTGTAAAGGACTGGCATCCCATCTAGGTGTTCTCCTGTCTTGTCCAGGATAAGTGATCAGAAAATGGATAAATGGAATTTTCATAGTATATTTGCTAAGGGGGTTTTAAACTTCATTTTAAATACAGTTAATCTTTGCATAAGTTGGCAAATTTATTCCGCTCATCATGAGTCACTCACTTCTGTATCTGTTGCTCTCCCTTCTGCTTTGTCAGTCGCCGTTTGGCCTCCTCATTCACCTGACTGGCCAACTCCTTCTGATGGGCCCGCCTCTTCTCCTCTGCTGTCATTTCATTCTGTCCAGTAAGAAATAAAGGCAAGAGTCACATGGAAGTCTGACAAGCATTTATGACAGCCAGACTACACTATAAATCGCATAATTACAGCACGAAAACATACACAATCTTGCTGTCACATACGTACATGCACACATACAAACGTACTCTGGTTCTATCAGCCAGTAGGGCAGCTCCTTGTGCTCCCCTTCCTAGAAGCTCCTCAGCATTATCTGCATCTTCCTCATCATCCTCCTCATCATCATTCTAATGAAAACAAGGGAGTCAACACAAATATCTCTGTTAAAAATGGAAAGCAAGACATTCAACAACCAAAACCAGGGACATGGGAGGACAGCAATAAAAAACCTGAATAAAGAAAGATCCACAGATTGTCACATCACATGACCTTTAAGAAGATGCCAACGTTCTTGATTTTCTTCTTGACGGATGTTAGAACTGTGGCAGCTTCTTCCTGGAGAGGGTAGACAGGGTTAATTTGAGCAAGTGCTCACACTGACACAGCTGCTAAACACAGCTGCATCATACACATTCTACAAACCAAGACATGGTACTGGTAATCAACCGGAAGTCAATGGAAAAGGGAAAGTAGCATACCAGAATACAGTACCTGGTGCAGTGGGCAAGTGCCCTATGGGATCTAGCCTAACCCCTGAAAAACAAACCCATACCATAATCCCTCCTGCACCAAAATCTACAGTTGACACAAGAGTACGTCCCAAAGATGAAACATCAACATTTAGCTAAAAGCAAAGCTCCAGTTTTGCACTGAATACACATGTAATTTGAAAACCCCTTAATACAAGATTGTTTTGAGGTTGAACAAGGAATCCCATTACATAGAACCGAGAGTGAGTGGTTATCCACCAGCATACAAAACTGGCATACTTTACAAATTCTAAATAAAATATGGTGCAATATGTTACCATAACCACAGAGAACGACATACAGAGTTCAAATCATAGGGCAATTTCTGTTTAACCTCAGGGGTTCCATACTGGGAAGTTCCACTTGGTCACACCTCATTAATCTGCACCGTGTCGCCGATGAACAGGGCATACTTCTTCTGCTCTTCCTTCTTCCCCTCTTTGTTGATGAGGTCAGAGAAGCCAAGGCTAATACCAAACACCATGCCTGGAACGGCATATTAACAGTCAAGAGCAAAAACTCCACACCAAGCAGGAAATATTCCAGAACATGGAGGAAGCAAGAATGACCCCATACACGAAACACCTGCCCAATGATGCTGAACACACTCAACACCAACCTCACAGCAATCCTTTGCTGCCTGACACTAGCTGCAGCCAAGGTTCAAGACTGCTGGTGCCTGCCTACAATCACATAACACTGTGGTGATGTCAATTTTAACAAGCAACTATTAAAATAGTTAAAAAAAAATAAGGGTGAAGGGAAAAAACCTGATAATTCACCTTTTTTGAATTTGTACTGGTTCTTATTGTTAAGGACGAGTGATCCCTCCCGAAACTCGATTCCCATTGCAAACCTGAAACAAAGAGTAAGAGGTCACACTACGCCCCCCCCCAAATCACAGCTAAAAAGCAGATGTTATAACAAATAGATTAATGTGACTGCTCATGAAAACTTCAAAACTTATGACACAGTGTTAATTTTGACAGCAGATTTCAATTTAGTTTTAGTCATAGTCTTTTGACTAAAATGCAATTTTAGTTTTAGTCATATTTTAGTCATCTGTTTTGTTTTAGTTTTAGTCTAGTTTTAGTCGACTAAAAAGCATAAGATTTTAGTCGACTAAATCTACTGTAGATTTAGTTGACTAAAATATATTGGGTTTAAT